GCCTCCTCTGAGTGTCCGTATACGTTACTCTTTCCTCCTAGTTGTAGGACTTCCACTCAGCCAGCGTTCCTGTGGGTCTGGGTGATGTCCCTTCCGTCTTTTAGTTTCACTTTTGAAATGGTTGTTCGAGGCGGCAAACTCCGGCGTTAACCTATGCCGCCATCTTGGTTCTCTCCATACCAAGTCTTTGAAATGTGTATGTATATATTTTACACTTACAGATTTTACATTTAACACTTAATATCAATTAAGGCTAGCCACATTTCAAGTGCTTAAGAGCCACATGTGGCAGGTGGCTACTATACTGGACAGTCCAATTTTCAAAGCTTTAATTTCATGCCTCCTGTCCTTCAGCAAGGGAAAGGGTGCAATTGTCACTATCTCTTAAGAATCTCGGAAAAATGAAACATGAATATACTGCATAGACCTGATTGGATTTTCCTGACATACATTGTTTTAAAGTCTATAATTCCATTCAGTCCTATCCATGACAACAGATTTATTTTAACAAAAACCTTTAAGGGCTGGCATTGGTCCTTATGATTGCAAGTCAGTAGTCAAAGACAGGGAGCCTTCATGACATGACCACTTACTTCCCTCAGGAAGTAAGGTGAGTCGTTCAAGAGAAGCAAAACAAAACGAGCAATATCTTTTATGGCCTCGCCTCAGAAATCACAGTCCCTCATGTCTGCCAGAAGCAAACCACCAAGATCAGTCCACATCCCAGAGGAGGAGAATTAGGCTCTAAATTTGGAAGAGAGGACTGTTAAATAACTTTAACATACTTTAAAATCACCATAATAGTGTACATTAAAATTCTGTATTTGTTGTCTCACTGGGATAAATAGACAAAACGACTTGCCGCTAGAGATGACCAGCCTTGGAGCTCTGGCTGCTCTGAGGCCCTCCCAGAAGGCTGGGTGATCACCCTCAAGAAACATCTACATCCCAGACCACTGCTACACCCTTGGCAAGCCCTACCCTAAGGATAGTGATCTTTTATAAGAGACAGAAAATCAAACTTAAATCAGTATTTTAAATGGGTGGTTGAGTTCATTGGCTCACTTAGTTGAATAATCCAGAGGTAGTAACGGTTCAGACCCAGTTTGATTCGGGACCCACGCGTCATCTCCTGATCCATTTCATCTCTGCTTCCTCTTGGTTGGCTCCATCCCCAGGCTTTCAGCAGTGGTCCCCGGAAATTCCAGGCTCATTCATCATAACAAATGCAGTCCTGAGTCTCACAACCTCATACCACCAACTTCCACAAAGAGGAAAAGTTCTGTATTCCAAAATTCCTTGGGTTCACTCTAATTGGAGTGGTTCATGATAAGCAAGCTTCTCTCCTTGCACTAGAAGTGGGATCAATAACAACTCAATCCACATGGCTAAGGAACTGGCAGTTCCACTGGGAATGAGGAAGAGTGGCTAAAGCAGTGGTTCTCAACCTGTGGGTCACGACCCCTTTGGGGGCCGAACGACCCTTTCACAGGGGTCGCCTAAGATCATCGGAAAACACATATATAATTACATATTGCTTTTGCGATTAATCACTATACTTTAATTATGTTCAATTTGTAACAATGAAAATACATCCTGCATATCAGATATTTACATTACGATTCATAACAGTAGCAAAATTACAGTTATGAAGTAGCAACGAAAATAACTTTATGGTTGGGGGTCACCACAACATGAGGAACTGTATTAAAGGGTCGCGGCATTAGGAAGGTTGAGAACCACTGGGCTAAAGGATGGAAAACAAACCGCGAGAGCTCTCTGAAGGACATTTTGTTTTAAAGGAAACGCATCCAGAAGAAGGAGCTTGTGTGGACATAAGGATCACAGGTCATTTCATATCATGTTCACAAACTCCGGCCTGGTAGGGCCATCCCCTGGAAGGGGAGTAAAGGGGATCGGAAGTATGTGAAGGAGAACCCTAGGGCTCATCATATCCTGAAGAAGAGTGTGGACTGGGAGAGATGGAGCAGGGTGTTTTCCCAAACCAGTAATTCACACTCCGGAGTGTTTTGCCAAAACAGTGCAAATGGTTCGGGAATCAGAACTATAGAGGTGAGGGGGGGAAGAGGGGAGACTGGGAGGCAAATGAGGGGGCTAGGGGAATGGAATAAGATTAGATTTGAGTGGGACGAGTCAAATATCAAAATTGTCTTTTGCTCTACCTGGCCCATAGTGGACACGCAATGAATGCGTGCAAAAGATCAAGGTATTGAATGGAGGTGGCCCTCAGGGATGATTTCAGCAAGGCTGTTGCTTTCTGTAGTTCTGGGTTAAAAGCTGCTCTTTAAAGAGGAAGAGGATGGTCAACTGGCCACAGAGGAATAGCCGTCCAGTTCCTGTTACTTTACCTATTATCAATGGGTGAACAAGAATTAAGAGGATTTTTCTCCCCTCTTTTCTGGTGCTTTCCCTTGAATCAGACCTTATCTTTAATAACCTTAAACCCAACCGCACAGAGCCTGATTCAAAAGCCACATCTCTGCCGGTCACTAAGGTCTTCAGCCTTGGAATTGCTGGAGGAAATGCAGCACGGCCCCGGGTGGGATGATCTCATTCCTGAGCCCTAAGGCCTTGATGCTGGAACACATTCTGGGGAGCAG